CTGAGGGCTTGAGGGAGGACTTTTAGCAAGATGAGCCCAGAATTGGAGGCTTGAAGTACTGATAACGATAACAGTAATGATGAGGATAGTGACGCATACATTCTTCTGGTAGACCTCACAAAATCCTCTCAACAAACTGGACCATAGCGGGAGCCTGGCCCCTGCTTGGGTCCCCGCCCCCTTCCGTGTGCTCCCCTGCCTAGCCAGAGGGAGCCCACAAACCCCTGAATCAGATGTAGACCCTCCGGACTCAGGGCTTCCTGTGGGCGCTGACGAGACCGTGGCTCACTCTGCTTCAGCCACAGTTGGGCCTGGTGTGCTGTTGGTAGGGCCTCCCGGGCCTGCCTGCTCTCTTCAAGCTCACTCTGGACCAGGTGGTGGTAGTGGTGAGGGTGTTGGCTGTTTTGTGAGGAGACGTGGCCAGGCCCGGGTGATGGAGGCTGTTAGCAGGCTCCCTCAGACTGGGCGCCCCGACCCTCCTCTGGCTTCCAAATCTCCCCACCACAAAGGGCCGCTCAGAGTCTGTCCCATGACCGGCATCCAGGTTCCCCTTTTCTCTCCTAAGCCCAGGCCCAGGGAGCTGTGGGGTGTGACGCCTGGATGGGGGAGGGGGGCTTCCTGCCGCCGGTCCATCCCCCAGTGCCTTAACCTCAGGTTCCTCCTAGCCTGCCCCAGCTCAGGCTCCCCATCTCCTCCTGGGTGCCCTCCCTCTGTCCTCCCTTCCAGCTACTTCCTCATTTGGTGCTGCAGCCCAGCCCGGCCCTGTGGTCACCATGTTGTCCCCCACTTATCTCACCCAAACCCTTAATCCTGTGTCTGTGCAGTGTGTATCGGTGTCATTGTCCATCTCTGTCCGTCTGTCTCTCTCTCTCTGCCTCACCTTCCCTTTCCCTTCCTTATCTTTCATCTTGGTTCTTTTTTTTCTTTCTCTCTAAGGGTCAAATATCTGTCCTTGGGTCCTGTATTTCATGATCACCTTTATTTGTTGTGCCATCTTGGGGAAGTGTCTTTTCCTTTTTTGTAAAATGAGGATAAGAGCATCTACCTCAGAAGGGTGCCGTGGGGGTTAAATGAGTTAACTCTTAGGACAGAGTGCCTGCAGCTCATATCCTGATGGCTCTCTTTTCATGTCCTATAAACATCCCAAGGTTCTGATTATCAAATAATTATAGCTGGTGCTTATAAAAAGCTGACAAGTGTCAGACCCTGTTCTAGAAATATTAATTCATTCCATCCCCATAAGCGCCTACAAAATAGGTACTATTTTACTCCTCACTTTACAGAGAAGGAAACTGAGAACCAGAGAGGTTGAATGACTTGGTCAAGATTGCCCAGCCAGGAAGAGGGAATGCTGACTTCAGTCACAGCCACTGACTCTTGTATTACATGACTGACCCCTGACTGGGGGTGGGTTGGCACATTTCCTTTTACCATCCAATCCGGAAGTTAGGGGCTACAGCATGGCCCCTGGGGCGGCTTGGCCTGACTCTTTCTGGCCTTGTCTGTCTCTGTCCCTCCTCCTGTCTTGTCCCCTCCTCCCTCTTGCCACTAACCGCCTCAGACTTCCTCCTTCACTTGGTTGGACGCTACACCATATGCCATCGGCCCTTGTACCCTGGTGTCCAGCAGCGTCACCTGCGTCATGGGCGTCCTTGGACCTTCCAACAGGCTTCTGCTCCTGCCTCTCCTTCTGACTGTGGGTGGTGAGTTGGGTGGGGGCTTCTGTAACTGCCTCCTGAGTCCCCGGGCTCAGCTTGGGGCAGAGCAGGGAGCAGGATAGAAAGAGAACCAAAAGGGAGGTTGGGGGGAAGCAGATCCCCGGCCCCCCAAAGCTTATGGGTCTCTCCCAGAGCCTGAGCCCCCAGAATCTGGCAGAAGCGGGGGAGGGGGACTCTAACGATGTTGCATCAGGACAATTCAGGGTAAACGTAACACAGTCTAGTGGCCTTGACTCTGACCCACAGGTCCCACCAGACATCATTCTCCACTCTTGTCTCCCAGCCATCAGGACCCACCCTCCCCAGCTTCTGCGCCCACCCTCCAGTCACAGCCTCAGGCCTCAGTCTACCTTCTTTTTCTGTCCTCAGGTTTCACCCCTGCCCAAGCCCAGAACGGTAGGCCTAGGCCCTGCAATTCCCCTCCCTGCCTCCCAAAGACCTCTCCATCTCCGTCTGTTCCCCAGTCTCTCTGAACCTACCTCTGCTGATGCCTCCTCCCAATTCCCAACTCCCACTGACCGCGCCCCCCCCCAACCCCTGTGCCACGTTCTCAGAATGCAATTGCTCCGTGGTGAGTCCAGGTGTGCTGGCGGGGATCGTGCTGGGGGACCTGGTACTGACTCTCCTCATCGCCCTGGCTGTGTACTCCCTGGGCCGGCTGTTCCCTCGGGGGCGAGGGACTGTGGAGGGTGAGTGGGGCTGGGAGGGGAGAGCCTGGGACCCTCTGAAGACTTGCCTGGCAGGGAGGGGTAAGCTCCCAAGTCACAGCCATCCAAAGGGACATTGATGGAGGGACAAGATGGCCCCGATTCACCACCTTAACTGTCTCTGCATCCTGCACTACCCCCCACCCCCCAGCAGTGACCAGGAAGCAGCGCATCAGTGAGACAGAGTCACCTTATCAGGTGAGAAAACCAGCTTCTCCTCACATCTCACTCCTACCCTGTGCATGTGTGTTCTAAACACCTCCCCCCCCCGCCGGCCCTTTAGGACCTAGACCCTAAAGCCACTTTCTCAGCAACATTTCAAACCCTCAAAGACTAAAGGGGCATCTGTTCACAACTGCTCTTAGTGATCAATCGTGACCCTAGTTATAGCTTAAAATCTGTGAGAAAACACAGGGATGGCTTTACCTTTGCAAGGGTAAATGCTGGCCTTAGCCTTCGGGCAGGCACTGACTTGTTCAGGACAGAATGATTTCTGGGAGAGGCTCTTAGAAAGGCAGAGGATATAATTCAGCTCTAATTCAGTAACTCTGAAGAGAGGAGTTTTAGAACTTTTTGGAGGGAGGGATTCTGTGTCGCTTTGAGAAGCTGATGAAAGCCAGAGACTCCTTAGAAAAATCCACACACAAAGTTACAAAATTGTGCATATAATCTAGGGGCACCACAAGTACCCTTGAAACCCTTCTTAAGAATCATCATGCAGACAGAGGTACCTCTCCTTCTCTTGCCTCTCTGTCAAGGCCCTTCTCAACCCTTTAGGGGGTCATGGGCTCCTGTGAGAATCTAATGGAAGCCAGCCGAACCCACCCCTTCCCATCTAGGTGCTCAGCCAGACCAGTCATTTGCATATGATTTCAGGGATTCAGTGTGAATGAAGTCTGTCCCCTGGAACCATAAACCTCCCCCTCAGTCGTGAGCCTTGTTCAAAGAAATCTCTTACATAGCTGCAGCCAGCTTTGCTTTGCCTCATTTGTGGATTAAAAAGTCTTTTTGTAAAGTGTAAGAATCTCAAGTTTGGCTCCATGAGGTCTAGAAGAATGAGGGAGATTTTCAGTTACTGGGGGCAGTGAAGTTTTAGGGCAGAGCATTATTCTAATTTATTCATCCTTTGGTAGAATTTGTTGAGCACCTACACAGCAAAAGTTTACATCCTAGTGGGAGAGATGGACTTGAAGCAAATTAACAGATAGTATCATTAGGGGAAGTATCATGAGGGATTTAAAGCCAGTGTGGCAGTGACTGGGTTGTGGGTGTGGAGGGGAGAAATTAGGTGAGGATATCAAGAAGTGCTTCTCTGAGGAAGTGACATGAGCTGAGACTTGCAGGTGGAGAAGAAACCATCCATGGGAATATCTAGCAAACCTGTGTTTGAAGCGGTGAGAACAGCATGTGCAAAGGCCCTGAGGCTGGGGCATAATGGTGAGGCAGAGGAGAAAGGGAAAGACTGAATGCACTTGGTTAAAATTCAGATGTCTTCCATGGTGGCAAGTTTCATAAAGCTACTAGGAGCCTTCCAGGTCCCGGAGAGAAGGCTGGATTTTGTTTCAGGTTTATTCAGTGTGCCTCTTCCACTAATGGTTCCCACACTGTCCCTCCCATTAGGAGCTCCAAGGTCAGAGGTCAGATGTCTACAGTGACCTCAACACACAGAGGCCATATTACAAATAAGCTCACACCACAGCAGTCAACAACCTGATGCCTGGATCCAGTCATTCCTGATGCCTACCCAGCACCTTATTCCTACTGCGACCAAGATCAAGATCCACAGTGCTCTCCCTGAGATGTCAGACTTTCTCCACCACTGCTCCCAAATAAACCTGGCACACAAAACCACTATGGAATTATTCTAGATCTCTGAGCTGAAGGAGCAGGGATATGTGGGGTTCCTGGGAGGGAGGGAAGCTCTGAGGACCCTGGGGTTCTTTGAGGAAGAGTTAGAACTAGAGGTATCTTAGGGCACCTGGATGGCTCAGTTGGAAGAGCATTCAACTCTTGATCTCAGAGTTGTAAGTTCAAGCCCCACATTGGGTATAGAGATGACATAAAAATTTTTTTAAAAATCTTTTAAAAACATTTTTAAATGTTTATTTATTTTTGAGAGAGAGAGAGCAAGAAGGGGAGGGGCAGAGAGAAGGGGAGACACAGAATCTGAAGCAGGCTCCAGGCTCCGAGCTGTCAGCCCAGAGCCGGATGCGGGGCTAGAACCCACGAACCTCAACCAAAGTCACTTAACTGACTGAGCCACCCACACCCAGGCGCCCCTACAATCTTTCTTTTCAAATGTTTATTTATTTATTTTTGAGAGAGAGAGAGAGAGAGAGAGAGAGAGCAGGGGGGAAGGGCAGTCAGGGAGGGAGACGGAGAATCCCAAGCAGGCTCTGAGCTGTCGCTGCAGACCCAGGGCTCCATCTCACCAACCGTGAGGTCATGACCTGAGCCAAAGTCAAGAGTCAGACACTTAACCGATTGAGCCACCCAGGTGCTCCCAACACATCTTAAAAAACAAAACAAAACAAAACAAAACAAAACAAAACAAAACAAAACAAAACCCCAGAACTAGAAGCATTTCAATTGCTTTATTCCAAGCCAAGTGGGGAGTGGGTTTCCTGTGCCGCCACACACAATGCAAGATGAGAGGGTCAGAAGTCAAAGGTGTCCCTTACCAGGGGGTCAGCCCCTGCCAGGCATGTTGATGTAGATTTTGTCATCCTCTGGGGGTGGGGGAGAGAAAGCATGAGGCCTGTCCACCTACCAGCCACCCACATCTCCACCTTCCTGGGGACCTCCTGTCTCAGGGGATTCCTCAGGAGTTCCCCTAGGCACCGCCCCCAGGGTTTCCCCAGCATCTCCTCCAGGGCTTCCCTGGGGGACCCCTCCTTGGAGACCCCCCTCCCCAGGGACATCTCCCCCTCCAGGCCCCATCCTGTCTCCACCCTCACCTTGGGTGGACCTGTGGCGTAGGCAAGCACACACAAACACCACTGCGATGATTAGCAGCGACACGACCGCATCGGCGGCCATGAGGCCCGCCAGCATTGGCAGGGAGGGGGGCCCACATCCGGAACAGGAACCTGGTGGGTGGCGGCCAAGACAAGAAGGCGGCTGAGGGGGGTTCCTGACCCTCAGGACAGCACTTTGGGCATATGGGGCAGAGGAAGTCCCTGCTGGGCTCGGTGGAGGTGGGGGGGGGGCGGTGGTGTCTGAGATTCCTTGGGGTTGACTTGGGGGATGAGAGGGGGGGTGGAGGACTGGAGAGAGGTGGGGGTGTCCCAGCACAGAGAGACATGGGTGGTGCTTCGGACATAGTGAGTACTCTCAAAGAAGGCTGGGGGGTAGCTGAGTCCCTGAGGCTTCAATCTGGTGATGAGGGCAGTGAGTTGGGAACCCAGAGAGGGCTGCAGATCCCCTGGGGGCTCTGATTTGGGGGTGAGAGGCGGGGTGGCGACCCAGAGGGCTACTGGGGGCATTCCAGGACCCTCAGGCCACACTCTAGGGATGGAAGCAGTCCCCGAAGGGCCATGGCAAAGGGGAAGGGGCGCTGATTTCTCACCTGGGGTCGTCAGAGCTGCAGCCACTGTGAAAAGAGAGGGAAGGTGGGTCAGCAGGGAGAGGGGGTTCCCAAAACAGGGTACAGGGAAAGGTGGTGTCCTGAGAAGTAACCTCCATTGGGGAGGGAGCAGATGAGAAAGAGGCCAGATGGGAAGGGGAGCTCCCAGAGGCACATAGAAAGACAGGGGATCAGAAATAGAAGTAAAGACAGACCCAGCAGTGAGATGGGGTGATTAACAAGCAGCGACTCCAGACTCCGTTTCTCTTCCCGGAGAACCAGCCTCTGAAGCCGAAAGGATCTCGAGGAAGGAAGGGATACTGGGAGGATCTGCTCTTAGCACTCCTCCCTTCAGATGCCACCCAAGCCACCCTTTTCATAAATGCTCTGCCTGCCACCCCCCATAACCATTGGCTTCACCTGGGAGCAAAAGCAGGATCAGGATGTCACTTGAAGGGGCCATGGTGGGCAGGGGCTAGAAGGACTCTGGCCAAAGGCTTTGGTCCAGAGAAGTCCTGAGGAACAGTGGGGGAGTAGAGAAGCAGCAATAGCGGATATCACCCTGCTGGTGACAAGGCCACCTGCTTCCTGTGTGCGTGTGTGGGAGGGGGAGAAGTGGTGAGTCTCTGTGACTGCCTTTGGGGGTAGGGTCAGAGACCAGGGAAGCCGCTATGTTTGTTCAGGTGGGAGCACTGGAGAGGACAGATGGACCAGGTTGTGGGCACTGGAGAGATTCTAGAAAGATTCTGGAGGTAGAACCAACGAAATTAGTTGAGCATGTCGGTATGGGTGTGTACGAGACAGAGGTATTCAGGATGGCCAAAGCTTCTGGACTAAGCAACTGAAAAGTTGGGGCATCCGTTGACAGAGATGGCGAATGAGAGGAAGCAGGTTTAGGGGGAAAGTGTCAAGGTCTGGGGTGACTGAGCTGGAAATGCCTGACAGATCTCCTTGTGGAACTGAATGACCACAGTTGCACCTATGGAATTCAGGGGATAGATCTGGTCTGGAAATGTAAATTTTCAGGTTGATGGCTTATGGATGGCATTTAAACCACGAGACTGAATGAGGTCACCAAGGAAGTGAGTACAGACAGAGGAGTGCCCCCGGCCCCCAAGAATGGGGGAAGAGGCAGAAACAGCCAGGGAAACCGAGAAGCAACAGCATGTGAGTGAGGAGAACCAGGAGAGCAGAAGTCTTGAAAGCCTGGGAGAAATGATTAACACGATCACTGAGAGGGGAACTGAGAATGAGCCTCCCCTGGAATGTCAGTTGGCTTGAGGCCTGGGAATTCCTGGCTGCTTAGTTCACAGCTATACCACAGCGCCCAGCAAAGTACGTCTCTTGCAGTAATATATTATTTTTAATGATGAATGAATAAATGAGAACTGCCCTCTGAAAAAGGAGATGTGGGGAAAAGGGAGAAATGTGAGTCCACCTATATACCACTCTTGCCAACAAATCTTCCTTCCCTCGGGACCAGCAAGTGCGGAACCCAGTCCCCTCTTCCCCCAGGACTCTAAATAATACTGTCCACTCTCAGTCCAGGGCCCGGAAATCGAGCCTCCATCACCCCCTTGGATCGAGACTCAGAAGTCTAGGCCCTCGGTGCTCTCCTCCTTCAGGAGTCCGCTGTCCCAGGCCACTTCTCCTTCAGACCTAAGATGGGGCCCCCAGCTCCCTCTTCCCTGGGACACTCAGGAGTCTGGCTCTCAGTGTCAGCCCCGCCCATTCAGAGACTGGGCTTGCTAGAGCGAGACACGGGGACTCCCAGGCCTGTGGGCGGGGCCCTGCCCATAACCGGGCGGTGCTACAACCCCAGTTTAAAAACTCGCGGGGCACCGACCCTAGATCGGGGACCCGGCGGCGGCTCCGCGGGAAAGAGCGAGGCTGGCGCAGCGCCGAGGCCGCGGCCCTGGGGGCCCGCAATCCGCGCCACGGAATCCCCGAGGTAATGGGGGCATGGGGAGGTGAGACACGCTCGGCCCCTTGAGAGAGCGAGGGGCTGGGAGTCTGGCTTTTGAGGACCCCAGGGACGGAGCTGGAGCATCAAGTCTGGGTGCTGCGAGTGAGGGTACTTGGTGTTTAGAGGGGACAGGAAGCCCGGGCTTCTGGGTGGTGATGGAGGAGCGGCTGGGATTCTGGACTCCGGGGTCCTGGGCCGTAGGGGATTGGAGATTCGAATGGAATCCTGGGTCCCGGGTGTGAAAGGGCTGGGGGTCCCACCCCCTGGATCCTGTGGGAGGACGGGGCTGGCAAGGAGTCTAGAAAGGGGCTAGATTGAGTCCTGGAGGGGGAGGGGAGGACGTGGTTGTTTAAAAATGAGCCACGGGACGGGTCCGGTCTGGGTCCGGGTCCGTAGGGGTAAGATCCGGCGCCTGGCCGCAGGGGTCCCCCGCGCCGGGAATTCCCGAGTCTACACCCGCCTCGGGTCCCTGGGCTGCTCGGGAATTCCCCTCGTGCGGGGATTCCACGCGCTCCACGCTTGGCCGCGCGCCCCACCTCTCAGCGGGACACCTGCTGCGCGCGGCCAGGCGTGGAAGGGGTGGATGGAAGATTCCCTTGCGTGAGCGCCGTGACGTCAGCGCGTCGCGGCTGGGCTGTTTCCGAGTCTGCCCTCCCCCGCTTAACCCTTCCTCCGCCGGAACCGGGCTCTGCAGAGTGAGGGTTAAGGGCCCGGACTTCCGGACTTCCGGGGTGGTGTGGAACAGGCGTCTGCAAACTGAGACTCCCAGGTGCTAGGGAGGAAGAGGCTGAGATCCCGGACTCCTGGGTCCTGGGGAAAGGGGCCCTAGGCTCTCGGACTGCCGCAGAATGCGGCCTGGACTGTTAGGTCTCAAGGGGGAATGGGGTCTGGACTTCTGCAACCCCCATGAACTAGGGGGCTATTGACTCGTGGTTCCTTGGAGAGAGGGGCTGGGGACTCGGACGCCTGGTTTCCAGAGGAAAATGTGTCAGGTCAGCTTCTAGGGCAGAGATGTTGGGAACCTGGATGTGAGTCTCAGGGAGTGTTCCCCAGCGACCCCCACCCCCAGGCCTAGGGAATGGGAGATCAGGGGGCTGGGATTTTTCACGGAAGTTGGGGGGAGGTGCTGCAGAGGAGCGCCCTCCTCCCCCTTCCTCAGTTTCCACGACGCTGGTGGAAAGTTGGGTCAGAGGGGAAAGTGCGAAGCAAAGGGAAGGAAACGGCGGAGGCGGATGCTGCACCTGAAAAGCTAAGATTGGCTTTGGAGTACTCAGGCAACGTCAGTGTGCCAGTTTTTCCGCGCAGGAGGGCGAGGCAGGGAACCCAAAACCACTCCCCCGCAAGGTTGGGTGACTTAAAGACCCCTGATTATTTCCCTCCCGCCCTCCCCCCCCCCCCCCCCCCCCCCCCCCCCCGTAGTGAGCCGGGGTGAACGCAGCCACTGCCCATCGCAAACCGTGAAGAAGCTCCTGGAAGAACAGAGGCGCCGTCAGCAGCAGCCTGATGCTGGTGGGGTACCGGTAAGACCCATGGAGCCCTGCGAATTAGAACTATTATGAGGCTCTGTCCCATTGGGCAAGGACTTGATGGCTTGAGGAGCCCTCAGAACAGATGAGAGTCGGCACCTGTCTTCGATGCGCTATGGGTGGGGGAATGGACGCTGAGGGACCTGTCAGATAAATTCCCCCTTGTTCCTTTTTGTTTCTGCCTTTACAGGGACAGTTTCCACCTCCCCTGGCCCAGTCCCTGGCTCCATCTGTGACTGAGAGTGAGGCAGGTAAGTCTGGAAAATCATCTGCTTCCCTCAGCTCGTAGCCCCAGCTTTCTTCAGGGACTCAGACATTCCAAATCTTTGGACTTTTGGGAATGTCGGAGTCAGACCTTCTCTTGCTGGGACCCGGTAACAGTTTGATCTCCCAGACTCTTTGGAGCCCTGTAATCTATGTACATAGTCCTTCCGTGTTCCAGGGGCCCAGGCTCCAGCCTTTGGTCGCTCCAGGAGTCTAGGCCCTCAACCCCACAGTGTCCCAGGAGGCCAGGTTTCAGAAGTCCAAGCTTCCAGCCCCTCGGTGTCCTGGAGTCAGGGTCCCAGCCCTTTGGTGTCCCACACGGACTAGCCCCCAGCACCCTGAGAGATCCCAGGCCCTCCAGCTGCGACGGTGACTTCCCCGACTCTGGTAACCAGGCCTGCCCCTGCTCCTCTCACACACAGGCCACTCTCGCTTCCCAGTACACCAGGAGACTGTGGGTTCTGGACTTGGCGGCCTGGCCCCCACCACGGGCTTTCCAGACTGGGACCCCAACACGCATGCTGCCTACACAGACAGCCCCTACACTTACCCTGCTTCTGCTGCTGAAGGTTTCCCGACTACCGACTTCTACCCACCCTCCGACCCGGGGCGGCAGTGTCCATTTTCTGTGGGGATGGAGGTGAGATACAGAGTGGGAACAGGATGCCGAAAGGCCCCTAAAATTCCCAGTTGTCCTCATGCTGGATTAAGATCAGTTCTTCAGATGGGCAGCACTGAGGCCCAGAGGTCCAAGGTCACTTGGTACAGAAGGGACACCCAGCCACTGTACCTGGCACTCTGTGTGTGTACGTATACATGTTAGGAAGAGAGAATTCTCAGCTGATTGGCTCTTCCCACCGCGTGCACCCTTCAGGACCCCCTGGATGCCCGGCTTTATGTAGAACCTCCCCTGCCACAGGCAGGATCCTGGAGAGGTTCTGGACTCCCTGCAGGACCCCCACAGATGCCTCCTGTGACCACCGGACCATCTCTGGACACAGCCCGTGCTCACATGCTGGCTTTGGGGCCACAACGGCTGCTGGCCCAGGATGAGGAGGGAGACACGTGAGTATAGGGGATCGCAGTCTGCCTGCTCCTGGTTTAGCTGGGGTGCTGCGCTCACTGGTGCCCCACTACCTGTCCTCAGGCTCCTGCACCTGTTTGCGGCTCGGGGCTTGCGCTGGGCAGCCTATGCTGCAGCTGAGATGCTCCAAGTGTACAGACATCTGGACATTCGTGAGCACAAGGGCAAGGTGAGGGCCAAGGGCCTGGACTCCTGGATTTGAAGGCGGAAGGTCTGGGGGCTGGATTTCAGACTGGGGCCCCAGCCTGACCTTCTTATCCCTTGCAGACCCCTCTCCTGGTGGCTGCCGCCGCCAACCAGCCCCTGATTGTGGAGGATCTACTGAACCTGGGAGCAGAGCCCAATGCCACTGATCATCAGGGACGTTCTGTCTTGCATGTGGCCGCTACCTATGGGCTCCCAGGAGTCCTCTCGGTATGGCCGGCGGACCAGCGGGGTGAATGGGATGGACTGGTTGCTCAAATCGTGGCTTCTGGGGCTAGGAGTGGGGGGAGACCCTAATCCAGCACTCTGCCTTCTCCTCCTCAGGCTGTGATTAACTCGGGGGTTCAGGTTGACCTAGAAGCCAGAGACTTTGAGGGTAAGTTGAGTGGTGAGCAGGGCAGGTGTGGCAGGTGGGGTGGGTGCTCCGGATGCAGAGCCCTCACTGTCTCCATTCCGCAGGCCTCACCCCTCTCCACACGGCCATCCTGGCGCTCAATGTTGCTATGCACCCACCTGACCTATGTTCCCGGGTGCTGAGTACCCAGGCCCGAGACAGACTGGCTTGTGTCCAGATGTTGCTGCACATGGGTGCTGATCACACCAGCCAGGTGAGCTGGGCGATGGGCCGCCCCTGGGAGGGTGGGTCACCTGGATGATGTGGAACGGGTCACCTGGATGTCCATGGGCTTCAGACAAATGCCGGCTTTGTCTCTTCCCAGCTGTGTGAACTTGAGCATATTCATTTTTCTGTGCCCCAAAGAATGACATTACCGATCTTAGCTTATATTTATCAAGCACTTACTATTCATCTAGTACTGCGTTTCATGGATTAACTAATTGAATCCACAAACATCCTTTGGCATGTGTGGTATTTATTACTTTTTCTATTTCACTAATAAGAAAAACTGAGGCACAGAGTTAAAATCTCACAGCTTGTGAGTATTGGAGAGGGGATTAGAACCCAGGTGGTCTGATGCCAGAATCCACCTCTTCATGAATATATTATCTTCTTTCCTCTGATAGTAGCTACTTCACAGGCTGGCTGAGAAAATTAAACACCTGCCTATTATTTAGTTTTGTTTTTTTAGTTAAAGAATTTTGAACCCAGATAAAATACAGAAAATGGTCTCGTGAACTCCCCGTACCCAACATCATTAATCAGCAACTAGTAGTCAATCCTGCCCCATCCATTCCTTCACTTTCCTATATTATTTTATTTAAAAAAATTTTTTTAGTGTTTGTTTTTTTATTTTGGGAGAGAGAGAGTAAGAGAGGGACAGAGAGAGATAGAGAGAAAGAGAGAGAGAGAATCTCAAGTAGGCTCCGCAGTGTCAGCACAGAGCCCGCCGTGGGGTTCAATCCCATGAATTGTGAGATCATGACTGAGCTGAAATTAAGAGTCAGATGCCTAACCGACTGAGCCACCCAGGTGCTCCTATGTTATTTTAAAGCAAACCTGAGCATTAAAAAAATTTTTTTTAATGTTTTATTTATTTCTGAGAGAGAGAGAGTGTGAGCAGGGGAGGGTCAGAGGGAGAGGGAGACACAGAATCCAAAAGAGGCTCCAGGCTCTGAGCTGGTTGTCAGCACAGAGCCTGATGCGGGGCTCGAACCCATGAACGGTGAGATCATGACCTGAGCCGAAGTCGGACACTTAATCGACTGAGCCACTCAGGCACCCCAAACCCGAGTGTATTTTTATTCATAAATATTTGTGTCTTTAAAGTCTTTTAACCTGAATATGATTATTCTACCTTAAAAACTTAATCTCAAAATACCAAATATTCTGGCTGTGTTCAAATTTCTGATTGGCTTTAAAGTGATATTTATTCTTTTCATTACAAAAACTAGGATCCAAATAAAGCCCACATATTGCCATTGTAAGACTTTTAGGGTCATTCTGAATTTAGAGATTCTCTCTCCATCTCCTTGTTTTCTTTTCCTAATTTATTTGGTGAGCCATATATATTTAATTTTTAAGGTTTATTTATTTGAGAGAGAGAGTGTGTGTGTGTGCACACGTGCACACATGAGCAGGGGAGGGGCAGAGAGAGAGAGAGAGAGAAAGAGAGAGAGAGAGAATGAATCCCGAACAGGCTCCTCACTGTCAGCGCAGAGCCTGACATGGGACTTGATCCCATGAACTGTGAGATCATGACCTGAGGAGAGTTAAGAGTTGGACACTTAACCAACTGAGCCACCCAGACATTCTTAAACACGTAATATTTAAAAAAATTTTTTTTTAATTTTTTATTTATTTCTGGGAGAGAGAGAGAGAGAGACAGCGTGAGCAGGGGAGGGTCAGAGAGAGAGGGAGTGACAGACTCTGAAACAGGCTCCAGGCTCTGAGCTGGCAGTCAGCACAGAGCCCGACGCGGGGCTCGAACCCACGAACCGCGAGATCATGACCTAAGCGAAAGTCGGACGCTCAACTGACTAAGCCACCCAGGCGCCCCTAAACACATAATATTTTTAATGTTCGTTATCATTAAAAAACTCTTTAAGAGCACATAATAAGGTTTCACCCTGGAAAGTGTATTTATTTGCTGAGAACAACTCAGTATAGAAGTGGATATAGGCTTGCTTAGGCCCCTGATTAATGCTGCTCAAGTCCCATCCTTATACATAAAGACTGTCCGTGTGATATGTGGGTACATTGTACTGTGCCAAGTAGAATGTGGGGTGGCCAAGGCAGCTGCTAGCCCAAAGTCACTTTTGGGCTGGAAAACTGTCATAATAAACGTATAGTTCTGTGATGTGTATGATGTGAAAGGCACCCTCTTAAACATGGTACTCTTGTATAGTACACGACACCTATAACTGTACAAGGCATCCCTGGGTGCTTGCAAAGGAGAGACAAGGTGTCTAAAGGCTCTTGGGTTCCATGGGAGGGACCCCAGGTATGAGGACTCGCCTGACCTCTGCTGTTCCCTTCTCTCCAGGAGATCAAGAGCAACAAGACAGTTCTGCATCTGGCCGTGCAGGCTGCCAATCCCACCCTGGTTCAGCTGCTGCTGGAGCTGCCACGGGGAGACTTGCGGGCCTTTGTCAACATGAAGGTGGGGGCCTAGGCTGGCGTGTGCAGATTGTGTGCAATATGACAGAGAGGGGCGGTGGGATGCTGGGAGTCCTGTGGGCTGTGGCTGGGGAGGGGACAATGTATGGAACACGGGTGGGGACTGTATAGGATGTGGATGTAATTGGGGAAACGTAGAAGACATAGAGGAGTGTGTGGAATGTGATTGTGGAGAGGATTCTGGGATGTCAGTGGGGCCATGTGGATGTGAAGCAGGAGTGTGGGACTTGGGTGTAGCGGGATGCAGAATATGAAGGGTACCTGTTGAGGGCCCAGGCCAGCGGAGTCTGGATCCTTATCAGTCCTCCCCTCGCTGTCCCCAGGCCCATGGGAACACAGCCCTCCACATGGCGGCTGCCCTGCCCCCTGGGCCACCCCAGGAGGCCATCGTGCGGCGCCTGCTGGCAGCTGGGGCAGATCCAACACTGCGAAACCTGGAGAATGAGCAGCCTGTCCACCTGCTGCGGCCTGGGCCGGGCCCCGAGGGGGTGAGCACGGAGCCTGCCCTGACTGTAGAGAGGCCTCTGACTTAACAGGGCAAACCCCAGGCCCTACTCATTCTTGACTTTAGAGGGTGACTTTTAATCTCAGAAGGTGACTTTGATCCCTATCCAACCCTGACTTGAAAATGTGGTCCCTGACCCCAGCATTTGATTTCATACCTGGTATTGGTGACTCCTTCTAACCTCTACTTCAACCTTAACCTCAGAGTATGGCCTCTACTCCTAACCCTAAATTGTGACCTCAAGGTGTGACCTTTGATTCCCAAGTCACCTTGCCCCAACCCCCTGCCCCAGCCCTGACCTCAAAGTGAGACTTCTGACCCCTAAATGTGACCTCTGACCCCTTGCCTCTACCCTTTGACTCCCAGTCCTCAATGGTAACCCCAAGGTGGGAACTCCCCACTTTCCTTCCATCCCAGTTCTGGCTCCTGATCCTTTTCTCAGTGTGTGAACCTTCATCCCTAACCCTAAATCTTGACTCTGAACCCCTGACCTGCAAACCGAGCTGATCCTACCCTGCTTCTCCACTTTAACCCCCAACTTCACAGTGTTTGCGTCCCCACCCCTCCTACCAGCCTCCCTAACTTCTCTTCCTCTGCCTTGTCTTGTCTGCAGCTCCGGCAGCTGTTGAAAAGGAGCCGTGTGGCACCCCCAGGCCTGTCCTCTTAGGACTCAAACCCAGAACCTGGACTGATTTTCCAGTCCCCACCGTCCTGTGGGACAGCCAGCGTATGCTAATGTTGCAAATCCATGATAATGTATGTGGAATGTCCTGCCATTGGGGTCTTACATTAAAACCCCAAAATGGCTGCTGGAGGGTAAAGAATCCCCAATATTTGGGGGTGGTGTAATACCCCTCTCCCACCTACAAGGAGCCCTCTTGATGATTTCTGTGAAATCGAGGCCCCTTGATTGTTTCTGTGAAACACCCTGGACCCCAAACCCTTTCCCCATTGGGATCTTTTGGGGCCCCCTCCCCTATTCAGCCCTTTGCATCTAGAACCCCAGATGTGATTTCCCTACACAGTACTTGGAGTACCCCCCCAATAGCTCCCAGTGCCATCCAGTAGAGCTCCTAAGATGACCCCTCAAGCCTTCTCAGGATCCACACTGTTCAGGTCCTTACCTCTGAGAGAGGAAGGACTCTCCTAGATTTGAACCCCCTGTCACATGCTTTCTAATTTAGAATTCAACTGGCCTCCTGCCCAGATCTCCCCATTTCCATTGAATTCCTCCCCCATGTGGAACTACTTATTAAACTCGGTTTGGACTCCGTTGTCATTGTCTTCATCTCTGGGGCATTGGTGCAAGAGAGTGGCTGTGGTGCTTGGCTGGGGAGGCGTATTTGGATGAAGGTGTGTGTGGAGTGTGTGGCAGGCACTGTGGGTGCTAAGTCCATACCCTGTCGCCCTCACCATATCAACATCTGGTGGTCTGACTGCCCGTGAGCAGTGTCAGATCACTGGAGCCTGCTCTGCCCTTGTGAGTATGGCAACCTTAATGCTGGTGAGGTTATGCCACTTCCCATCTAACAGCCATCCTTTCAGGAGATGGTATATAAATACTCCAGGTCCTGGGGCACCTGGGTGGCTCAGTCTGTTGTTGAGTGTGCGACTTTTGATTTTGGTACAGGTCACGATGCCAGGGTTGTGGGATGGAGCCCCATGTCAGGCTCCGCCCTGAGTGTGGAGCCTGCTTAAGGTTCTCTCTCTCTGCCTCTCTCTCCCATTTTCTCTCTTTAAAATACATACATACATACATACATACATACATACATACATACTCCAGATCCCTCACCTGTCTATGAGGATAATGTGGAAATGTGTGTTCTACACAAGCTCTCAGAGCTCCCCAAAAGAATTAAGCTCCAGTTCCCACACTGGTTCTGGCTTGGTAACATACTCTTTCTTGACTGCTTTCCCTTTTCTGTGTCATATCCCCCCTCCCCTACCGCTAAGTTGTCCTCAAATCCTGTTTCTGGAGAAATCCAAACTAAGATGGAAGACCTCCATAATGCCCCCTTCTCCTAACTGCCCCAATAGCCTCTGCTCTGGACTTCATCCCAGTCTTATCAAACAGCCCCTCCCCCACTGAAAGCCCTCTGACCCATCATAGGCCCCCGCTGCTCAGAGCCTCTCAAGGACAACAAACCAAGCACACTTCAGGGCATCTGCTAGTGTCTCTACCCCAAAACTTGAGGCTTAAAACCACCATCACTGTTTGCTCAGGATTCTGCAATCTGGACTGGGCTCTAACTGGATAGTCCTATCCTGCTTTGGTCCCTCATGTGGCTGCAGTCAGCTAGAGGCCTGATTAGGCTGGGCACACTCACGTGTCTGATAGCTCGGTTGAGATGGCTGGAACCACTGGGCGTGGGCCACGCATCTCTTTCTCCACGTGGTCTCTCCAGGGAGGTGAGTGGATGTCTTCACGTGGTGGTTCCAAGAGAACAAGCCCGCATCATGCTTGCTGACATCACATAGGTCAAAGTCATTCATGTGGCCAAGCCCAGGATCTGGGGAGGGCGCACTACACAAGGGCCTGAATACTGGGGGGCGGAGTTTCAGGAGCCAGCTGTGTTAGTCTCCCACATCACCTCCCTGTACCAGCATATGTTGCTCTTCTGTGTATGCACATGCGGGCAACTGACCCATGAAGACTTCATGGGAAAGTTATTTCATAGATTCTAACAACTTAACTGGAATTAATCTTACAGTCACAGAGAGACTTCCTTTAACTTCTGTATTTTGGGGTGCCTGGGTGGCTCCGTCAGTTAAATGTCTGACTTGGTTTCAGCTCAGGTGATGATCCCATGGTTGGTGAGTTCTTTTTTTTTTTTTTAATATTTTTATTTATTTCTAGGAGAGAGAGAGAGACAGCGTGAGCAGGGGAGGGTCAGAGAGAGAGGGAGACACAGACTCTGAAACAGGCTCCAGGCTCTGAGCCGGCAGTCAGCACAGAGCCCGACGCGGGGCTCGAATCCATGAACTGCGAGATCATGACCTAAGCGAAAGTCGGATGCTCAACAGACTAAGCCACCCAGGCGCCCCCCATGGTTGGTGAGTTCTAACGCCACATCGGGCTCCATGGTGACGGTGTGGAGCCTGCTTGAGATTCTCTCTCCCTCTTTCCCTGCGCCTCCCCCACACTCTCTCTCAAAAATAAACTTTAAAAAAAAGAAAACTTTAAATAAAAAAAAATTCCTTGTTTTTTTCCTTTGTAGTACCTAAAGGTATTTCTTATCATTGATAGTATCTTAGATTCTATTGACATATAAGACGTATATCCCAGGGCTCAGTTGGTTAAGTGTCCAACTTCAGTTCAGGCCATGATCTCAAAGTTCGTGAGTTTGAGATCCGCATTGCCTCTCTGCTCTACTGTCCCCCCACTCTCTGCTCCTCCCCAACTCGTTCTTCCTCTCTCTCTCTCTCTCAAAAATAAACATTAATATTTTTAATGTTTTTATTCATTTTGGTGGGGAGAGAGAGAGAGACAGAGCATGAGCAGGCGAGGGGCAGAGAGAGAGGGAGACACAGAATCCGAAGTAGGCTCCAGGCTCCAAGCACAGAGCCCAATGCAGGGCTAGAACTTATGAACTGTGAGATCATGACTTGAGACAAAGTCGGACACTTAACCGACTGAGCCACCTAGGTGCCCCTCAAAAATAAACATTTTTAAAAAAATCTAAGGGTGCCTGGGTGTCTCAGTCGGTTAAGTGTCCAGCTTTGGCTCAGGTCATGATCTCACGGTTCGTGGGTTCGAGCCCTGCGTCGGGCTCTGTGCTGACAGCTAGCTCAGAGCCTGGAGCCTGCTTCAGATTCTGTGTATGTCTCTCTCTCTGTCGCGCTGTCTCTCTCTGACTCTCAAAAAAAAAATAAATACAAAACAAAAAAAATCTAAAAAAAAGATATATATCCCAATGTGTATCAATACACACACGCGCGTGCGCATACACACACACACATACATTAACATGATAAAATTATAAAATGTCTCTAATAAATTGTATTATTAAGAGAAAAATTAACCAATTATTTTCAGTGGGAAAAGAGGGCAGCTTCAAATGAACAATAGCAAAGTTACTTTTCCTGCTGGGATTTCAATAATAAGCATTTTAAAAATTACCCTAAGTAATGCCATTAATATGTAAACATTATTAAGGAATCACACACTGAGCATAATGAGCAAAATGGCCTTTCATTTCCTGTTGCACCTGCTTGGAGCTCCTTGCCCATTGTTAGCCTGTTAGTCACACTTGGCTGTGAAAACATAAAGGCAACTTTTCCCCCTACCTGTGGTGCTAATAATAGATTTCTGCTAGGGTTGTCTCCATACAACTGAAGCTAAAATCAAAATCAGAATGATGTTGCAGACTGGCTTCTCTAATAAAGCTGAGGCATTGTATCCAACTTAGCTCATGTAGGCATCTTCCTCACAATGTCTACTAGGTCTGTATTTAATACATGTGACCTGTGTTTACATGCATATATTATGAAGAGACATTGTGAGCTCAAAGGCCCTTGGGGGAAAATTAGAAATAGATGCCCTCAGGTGCCTGGGTGGCTTCGTCGGTTAAGCGTCCAACTTCAGCTCAAGTTGGTGGGTTCCAGACCCTTGTTGGGTGGGCTCTGTGCTGACAGTGTGGAGCCTATTTGGGATTCTCTCTTTCTTTCTCTCCCCTTCTGTCTGCCCCTCCCTGACTCATGCTTTCTCTCTCTCAAAATAAATACAGTTAAAAAAAGAAAAAGAAAAAATAAATAGATGCTTCCCCCCCACCCCCCGCCATCCGTCAGAAAATTGTGTGCTGCCATTAGAACATGGCATATTACTGCCACCTGCTGGGAAGTTGTGGTAAAAGTGCAAATCTATAGTATCTAGAAAGTGAATTGGTATCACTTGGAATTTTGCAGTGTACAACCTGAACAGCATATGGGACAGCCTCGAATTACTAGACAGCTGGTTAGCAAAATGGCCAAGAGTATGGGTTCTGAAACCCATATGCAGTAACCCAGTTGCCTGGGTTGAATCTCTAGCTCTGACCATTCCTATATAGTGACCATGGACATGTGATATAACTTCTTATATCCATTTCTTAATCTATAAATGGGAATAATCATAATACCTCCTTTATGAGATAGAAGTAACGATTAAGCATATCAACGTATGTAAAAAACTCTCAGAGTGGGGATGCCTGGCTGGCTCAGTCGGTAGAGTGCACAACTCTTTAGTCAGAGTCATTAGCTCAAACCACACATTGGGCATGGAGCCTACTAAAAAAAGAAAAAAAAAAGCTCTTGGGACTGTACCCAGCCCAGGGTGAGTGCCATATGAGTATTTGGTGCCATACTGGTTTTTTTTTTTTTTTTTTTTTTTTTTTTTTTTTTTTNTATTTCTAGGAGAGAAAGAGACAGCATGAGCAGGGGAGGGTCAGAGAGAGAGGGAGACACAGACTCTGAAATAGGCCCCAGGCTCTGAGCTGGCAGTCAGCACAGAGCCCGACGTGGGGCTCGAACCCACGAACCGCGAGATCATGACCTAAGCGAAAGTCGGACGCTTAACCGACTAAGCCACCCAGGCGCCCCATACTGTTTTAAAATTTATTTAACAAATCACTTGTGAAGTGGTTGTGAAGTGGCAGGCACATTTCTAAGTCTCCACAAATATCAACCCTTTTGATCCCCATAACAACCCTCTTGGGACAGGTAACAGCATATGTAGAGGGCTAACTGCAATGTCACAAAATGGAATACAGGAGGGTCTAAATTCCGATAGGTGCTTGCCAACATCACATACCCCTCTCTAGGACATAACTGGGACTTCCACATGTCAGGGGGATTCCTATTGCCTCTCAAAGAAGGGATGAAGACTTGTGAATGGTAAGAGGGTTTCAAGCTTCTCATTCTCTCCATAGGCTCGAAGGCTGGGGGTGGATGCTGTGTGGGATTGAGTGTGAGGGTGAACAGAAGGCAGGAGAAACTGCCAGAAACAGCTTCTTCGGAGTCTAGCCTGGGATTCAGCAAATAGAGGCCTAGAAGTAACACACCATTCAGCACCACGGAAAGCTCCTGAGAGGGCAGAGGGAGCCTACCCAGTCTTTGGGTCCACCCACTGTGTGCCAGTCCTGGCCCTTTCTATAGGCTCCGCCCAGATTTAAAGATCCTTCGTACTGTTTTAAGAGGTGAAGGAGGCCTGGGCAGGGATCCACGCCAGTATCCAGAGTTATCATTACACACTGATTCCCCCACAGAGACGCAGGACGGCCTGGTGGGGAAAAGGA